GTTATAAGCCGCCTTACACCACGCCCGGCTTGGCCCCCGAACCGGGGCGGTGTCACTGTCACGGAATCGATATCTGCTCGCTCAATTTTCTTCCCAGACACGGTCCAACTTCTATCTCTATCGTCCCCTATTCTTTTCTCCAGCCGAAAATGGACTCCTCTCTTCCTCCCTTTTTTTTTATCCTCTCTTCTTTCTCTTTTTTCTCCTCCCTCCAGAAGAGAAGAGAACGGCAGATGGACGACGCGTCGATGTCGCTTAACTTTTTCAAAATTTCATCCCGTTCTTACGTATTCTTGCCTCGAGGAGGAGTCTGGCAAGATTTTCTCCTTGTACGAGGGAGAAAAAAAAGAAAAAGAAAAAAGAAAATAAGAAGGACTCGGGGAAAAGGGGAACGGAATGTAACGAAGACGATGCCTCTCGCTCGGTTGTGTAGTCGTACTACACAAACAACGTTCGTCCCATTTAAATATCAATTTAAAGCAGCGTTCGCTACGTATCCCGCTATGTAGACCACGTCCTACCCACCGCCGTATCCCACATCGCTTCTCATCCACGGATATCAGCTCTTTACGAGGGTTTGCGATGCGTCACGTCCGACCACGTACAAGGCTTCTCTACTAGCTCATCTACTTACGCTTGGTATTCCACTCCGTTGTCCGTGGTGCACGGCCAACGGTATAACCTATTTACCCACGTGTCACGTCTGACTACGCCCCGACTTGTTCCACTTTATCCCTTTTGCGCGGACTACATCGCGCGTTTAAGGGAATTCGATCCTGTTTGAAATGTTCCCTGAAATTTCGATAAATTTATGTGTATGTTTTACAACGAGAAAAATAAAAAGAGAAAAAGAAAGAAAAAAAAAAGACACGTCCCCCGATCTTAAATAAATCTCGCTTTTTCTTAACGACTTTTACGCTTTTAAAGGTAATATGAAATATAGTTTTATACTCGGCCGGGCAGCGGCAGTTTTGAAACAGTGAGCGCCGCTTTGAAAACCAACGAGGCGAGCTTATCTCTCATCCGTGTCATTTCCTCGTCAAACATAGGGGAATCTGAGTTGAGAGTCCATTGCCGGTGGGTCAGTGAAGCGTTGCTTAACAAACGACGCGGTGAAAATCTCGAAAACCTTTCCTCTGTTTCTCCAATTCTCGAGTAATAACGATAAAAGAGTGTAAAAGTAGTGTACAATGGATCGTGGAAGGATCGTGACGGGGATGGAAACGGATGATTCGTCACGAAAACAGAAACGTATCGTTTCTCTCGACTCGAGAGAATAAATCCAAAATCAATTTCTTCTCTGGGACCTGGGTCGAGAGAGCTTCGCCCTTGTTGTTCATCGATGGAAACAGTGACCAGGCAACGCGAAACGATTTTTCATCTCTTATCGTCGACGAGGTCGCTTCGTCGTCACCGCGAAGCCGGAAACTCGATGCGTGCGCGCGGAGAATCGAAAGGGAGTGAATCTGGAGGAGAGGCGAAAGGGGATGAAGAAGAGGAGAAAAACAAACGAGTGAATCGACGCCTCTGATCGAAACTATGATTTGTTTACTACGCTTTCGAAATCGACGCAAATTACGGATACGCAAGAATCCGTTATCGGTGATCCTTATTAAAAATCCTTATTAATCTCTCCATTGTAGAAACGGGGGCAGATGGAATTGAACGAAGACTCCGTGGAGGGATGTATAAACACGCGTATTAACGAGAAAAATCGTACGACAAAATTCATTCGTTCGTTCGTGATTCCAGATTTTATTTATATCCGAGTACCGAGATCCGAATAACAAATGAAATGATTGGAAAAATATACGGGAAAAGCAGGTGTCGCCACGATTTCCATTTTAATATCTCGCGATACTCCGTCCATCTCGATCCGCATCTCTAAGCAAGCGTGGACCACGCTCGTGGCCGATCGTGCAAAATCGGGAAAACCGACACATCTCGATTCTCGGCTGTTCATAGTTTCCTCCCCCGTTCGAAATAGTTTTCGCGATTTCATACGGTGTTCGAACCTTCGATCTAATCCTATTACACCAGGGCCAGGATCGTAACAATATTACAAAAGAATCGTTATTATCGATTCGAGTCGGCGAACCGAACACGAACCCGGATGTATCCTCTTATCCGTCCTCGTGCACTCGCTTATTTCATGCCCTCCCCCAATCCCATCTAACCTTCCTCCTTCACCGATAGGTAAGCTCATCCAATTACCGAAAATGTAGCGGTGCACGCTAGTAGTACGTTGCACGGAGTATCGCCATTCTCGAGGCTGGTTTCGCGCTTACCGTATCGCCTCTTCTGCGCTTCTTTCTTCTAACCAGTTTACGTCCCGGAACGTATTCTCGCTGCGGGGGAAATAATCCTCAACGATTCGCTTTCTATTTAATATTTTGTACGTCGATACGGTTCGTTGATCGACGGATCGGAGAATAATCTTTGCTTCGTTATTCAGATTTTTTGGGTATTAAGATTGAAAATTTTTAAAGAATATCTTTGGATATCTCTTGGCCACTGTGGTTGATTATTTTTGAAAAATATTTGCTTGTTACGCGCAGATTTTTCAAATCTCTAATTACTTTGAATCGACGGATCGTCGAACCATCTTTGCTTCGTTATTCAGATTTTTTGAATGTGGTATTAAGATTGAAAATTTTTAGAAAAAATATCTTTGATACCTTTTGGCGTAGTTGATTATTTCTGAAAGATATTCGCTTGTTACGCGCAGATTTTTTAAGTCTCTAATCATTTTGGATCGACAGATCGTCGAACCATCTTTGCTTCGTTCGTCGCTATTCAGATTTTTAGGTGTGGTATTAAGATTGAAAATTTTTAAAGAATATCTTTGGATATCTCTTGATCACCGTAATCGATTATTCCTAAAAGAATATTCGCTTGTTACGCGCAAGATTTTTGGAACGTTCGAAGAGAATAATCTATCCTTTCACTTTCGACAATATTTATCCATATTATATTCATACATATTAATATTCATCGTTAAACAACTTGTGTAACAATTTCTACAATTTCCAAAGAACATCTTTGAATATTAAACACGATTTTAAACAATATTCCTACATTGTTTCTCAACGTCGCTTCTCAAAGATCAATTTCAACATAGAAAAAAAACTTCCAAAAAAAAACTGCCTTTTTTCCGCGCTCAAAACCAAAGAATCGCTGTTTCTTTCTCTCTTTCCGAATCGAACCAACCGACCGATTTCCCGCTCCCTTGAAATTCACCCTTCTTTCAGGTAGCTGGGATCCGGCATCTCCGTTATTTCATGTTGTACCTGGCCCAGCCCCCGTAAGAGTAAGATTCGTCCGTGTACCCGGGCGGAAGCGGAGGGCTCTCAGCCGCGTCGTATTTCCCGAGGGCCATGTCGATCAGGGAGAAGCTGCATCCGGCGAACATGGCGGCGCAGTCGTGCCCCTCGTGCCCCGCTTTCCGTGCCCTGCTGTACGCGTGATACTCCTTCGGCTCGTGATCGAACAACCGTTTCAAAGGGAAGCTGCAACAACACGGGAGGGAAAAACGTAGCGCGTCTTAGCTCGAGGATGGGGGTGCAGCTGCGCCTGTGAAAAGGAATCGGAAAAGGGGGTCGATGTCGCGAATTACGAGAGAGAGAGAGGGAAATTTAAAAGGGACAACTCGGTTTCTGTTTCTTGCACCATGAAAGGAAAGGATCCTCCCAAGGTGAGTGAGTATGCGTGTGTGGGGGACAGAGCTCTTTTCAAGCTTATTTGCTTAATAAAATTCGTCTCGATCCCGTTCCTTCTTCCGAGGGAGGACGAGATTATTCCGAAATCCCATCGATCTCCGGCCAAAGCTCATCAGAGCTCCCCTCGAAGAGGGAAGAGAGAAAGGTGGAGAATGGGGAATCCGCGCAGCTGGAACCCCCATTTTTTCTTTTTTTTCTTTCTGCTCTGTCCCTGGTGAACCTTACGAGAACGATATCCTCATCATTTCCTCGACCAGGGTGTTCCCTTTCGGAAGCAATCGTTGCGAGGCCTCGCAGAGGGCGCGAAGGATACACGTTCTGCCGTCGAAATTCATCCTGAAAGAATGGAAAATTGGAAAAATTAGAATGGGGAAATCGAAGATCTGGAAAAAAGAATAATATTATCCGATGAGAGAGAGAGAGAGAGAGAGAGAGAGAGAGAGAGAAGGAGAGGG